TAATTTGTTTCTCTTGTCATGTATATCTTACTGCTAAGATGTGTGATTGTAAAGGAAAATAACTATTTTATAGAGCAAAAAAGAGCAAAAAAAATTCTAAAGAGAACATTTATTTCTTTTCATTTTTATTTTATTAGTATTTTCCTTAAATGTGTCAAATATATGTTTTCTCATCTAAATGTCAACTGAGCTGTGAGCCAGGGGGCAGTAATGCGCCTTGGCATTGGTTGCCAACCAAGAAGAAGAAGCTGTGAGCCAGGAGGGAGGGGCTAAGTCAGTCCTGAGCAGTGTTGGTCAATTTACTTGAAAAAACTAATCAGCAGTGTTGGGAAGGTTACTTTTAAAATGTATTCCATTACAGAATACATGCCCCAAAATGTATTCTGTAACGTATTCCATTACGTTACTCTTTTTTTTTTTTTCTGCCTGTCCCATTTGGCTCTTTAGCCATCAGAATTGTTGTCTGAAGACCAACAAGGATACCCAATGGATTTACTTTGCCAAATGGATCATCGTGGCATTGCCGTATTGGTCCATTTGGTCGATCTTTGTTTTTATTATTTATTATATTTTATTTTCAGATGTTACAGACGGGACAGACATGAGTCTGAGGAAGGAAAGGAAAAACAGAAGGGGAGAGGGACAGTGAGAAAGGGGGGGAGAAAAAAAATAAAAATCTCCTGGATCACCTGTTGAGAGAAGAATAGAAAACAAGCAAAAAAGACAACAAAAAAAAACAAAGCAACATACTAAACACAACACCATCGCATTAATCTAGCTAAGTGTAAACAGCAGTAAATACTAAATATTCAATGTTGTTGTGCAGCACGCAGGACAGATGTGCTTCGAAGTAGCAGCCAAGAAAGGTGTAATTTGGGTCTTCCAGCTCCCGTTTTTCCTCGATGACAACTCGTACCTTTCCACTCCCCTTTTCTCCCTCCTCGCGCTCACAGAACCATAACGTGTATGGCAGTCCATTCTCCCTGCAACACGGACTACACTGCCCATGATGCTACATTCTTTAGAGCTATGCTTGTAGCATTCTGCCTGTTAGCTTAGCACAACAACAACAACAACGAAAAGGCGCTCTCTCACCCAGGAAACACACAGTCGCAGAGAGAGAGAGAGAGCGTCGCCCTGTAACCATGGCAACCATAACGCTGCCGCCTGGAACAAAAGAATATAGCTGTCAAACAAAACCCAAACAGTCCTGACCCGCGACAATATGAAACAGGAAAGTACCGCAGTGTAATCCATTTATTTCAACAAAGTAACTGTATTCTGAATACCACCTTTTTAATCGGTAACTGTAACGGAATACAGTTACTCATATGTTGTATTTTAAATACGTAACGGCGGTACATGTATTCCGTTACGTATTTAAAATACTGCTAATCAGTAACTAATTGATTACTTCACCAAAAAAGTAATCCCGTTACTTTACTGATTACTTCTTTTCAAAAGTAACTAATTATGTAGTTACTTAGTTACTTTTTAAAAACAAGATTTACAACCCGAATAGGTAATAAAGCAATACATCTTTCAGCCCAGTTCTATTTTTTCTGCATAATCCATCATAGAAAATGTAATCAAATGGAAAAGTGTCTTTTTTAAAACTTGTTTTATTAGTTTTAATCTTTTAACTTTATGCATCAAGCAAAAATTAAATTATATGCAACATTCTCTGACTGGAAGAAATTTGTTTAACACTTAAGCCTATTTTCTGCAGATTCCAGCACATAAAACAATTTTTTTTGTGTTTACTCTCAGTCTTTCAAATAAATGCAAGTGAAACATAGCAGAAAATAAATAAAATCAAAGACTCAGCGGTCCTGTTGCTCTATTTTTACCTGTATAGCAGGCGGATGTTTGCCCTGGTGCAGATGTGCCGCAGCGGTCAGTGGAAGAATCCGCAAGTTTGTCTGTGAATTTCCCATTCCACGGTAGCGCATTCGGTCCTTGCTCGGAAGTTAAGGGGTTTTTTCACTGTAAACCGACATTTTCTTCCCACGCAGTGAACAGCGGACGCTAATGTTTTTGTCACTTTTTATGGAATCAAACTCAAAGTAACGTCAATACTTCCACGCTTTAAGCACTGCACAGTCATACTCTCTCCCGCATACGATATATTATCCATTGTTGATCTACACACAGCTGTTGCCACGAATGTCGCACTCCCTTATGTCATTGTCATGAGACATTCTCGCAAAAAAAAATCACGGTTTTAGTAACGCAGTAACGCAGCGTTCTTATGGGAAAGTAACGGTGAGCTAATTAGCGTTTTTGTAATGGTAATCCCTTACTTTCCTCGTTACTTGAAAAAAGTAATCGGATTATAGTAACACGTTACAAGTAATGCGTTACTGCCCATCTCTGTTCATTACTGGAGCTAGGTGCTGATTATAATTCACTCAAGAGGGGTGAGTATGACACATCTTTCCTATCAGCCCTTTGTAAACAAAGAAGTCATTAACCTAATTGTCATGGTCCGCGGCCCGGCGTCCGGGGTGCTGATGGGATGCCCACGCCCACGGGCGTGGCTGCCAACCCCACACCTGCATCCCATCCCAGGCGATCACCAGGTGGACTATTTAATCCTGCCCTACCTACTGCTCCTCGCCAGTCCGTAGTCGTCTCTCAGCGGTAACGTATACCTGCGGGAAAGCCCTTATGAAAGAATTATCCATCTGAACTAACACTGTTTTGCCCTGTGTACTCAGATCACAACTCGGCGTTTTTGAGCCACCTGCCTGTCCACCTGCCCGCCTGAGATTTGGATCACGATCAGCCCTGCCGCCTCGACCCCTTTTGGAGCCCCCCCCCCCCCCTCTGGTTCACTCAGCCCAGCTATCACCGTAAGACGCATACTCCACCTTCCCTCGTATGCTGCCATTTTTCTGCACCCGAGTAATCTGTTTCTCCTTTTTTTTTTTGCAGCCTCCCACAGCCCCGCTCTCGGCGTTCCCTGCGCGACTCACCTCCCCGGTCCTTCGGTTTTTTCTGGTTCCACACGTTGTTTTTTCCGGCTGCCCTCACGGGACACCTTTAGTTATAATAAAATTTGGTTTCTTTATTCTCCCCTACCCTGGTGTGTGTGTTCTGCTTCTGGGTCCAGCTTGCGCACGGAACTTCGGTTCATGACACTAATGAGCAAACTTAAGAAGTAACACAGTGAAAGTTGTGTCTTTTTTTTCTAAGAAAGTTTATTTGGACAAAAGATTAACTCTATCTATTTGTATAGTTGTATATTTTATCTATATTTTAACTTAAATGATTTTTTAAATTTAGTTAGATGAAAATACTAACATTATTTCTAAAAAAAAAGTATTGTGTGATGCATAAAATTATCCACAACACATTTATACATTTCTACACAAATACCAGTTCAAATGTTAAATTGTGGCTCAGAACCGCTTCAAGAGATAGACCAGTTTATTTACAATTGTCAAAAAGTCTTTAAGTGCTGTAGTAGAAGAGTGCTATACCAATGCCTTTATCTGCTTTATTTACGCATAATAGGCTGCATCTCCTAAGTAAAAGGCCTGCATATGTTTTATTTAACCCTTTACAGCCGATCGGAGCGGGCACGCTCTGTTTTGCGTAACTATTTTAAAATCCCGGTAGCTCTGCAACCACGTGAGCTAGCGCAATCATTTTTTTTGCATATGAAACCGGAGGAGTTGTACTTACATCTTATGCCATTAGCTTGTCCTAGGTCACAGTTTCCTTCCACATATATCTTTGCAAAAACTGCATAAAAATCACTTGCAGCAACAAAAACATGATATTCCAGAAACACGCTTCGCCAATCCGATCAGCTGTTTGTAACACTTCCTACTCCATCAGCGCGAACTATCACATGACCGCATGACCTGCCCGAAACCGGAAGTGACGTCATTTTGCGGAAATGTAGTTTTTTACGATCGGGGCCTTATGAGCCTATACTTGTGTTTTAAAAAGTTATGTTTGAGTTTATGACTTTCTGTGTCGTTTCTGGGATGCTTAGGACTCATATTGCACTGCTGGAAATAGTTTATTTTGATGCATATGCTGTTATTTTGCAAATTTGCACTATAATATTTATTTTCGTTTTTCCTGCAGTATATAAAAATTGGTGTATTTCAAAAATAAAACTATGAAGACACTCAAAATAAATTTCCTGTGGTGGGAAACTAGTTTGTGCAACTTTTTTGTATTTACAGTTTTGAGGGATGAGCCTCTTAAATTTCTCTAACTAGAAATATATGTTAAAAAAACAAAAACGATTTAAAAATTTTTTGTAGTTTATTGCACTTTTTTGCAATTTATGTAATTACTATGCACCTAATGCAGACATATTATTAAAGTTTGGGCTATAATGGTTGTATTGATGTATAGCAACTTGAAATGCTCCCAAAAATGGCTCCACAGCATGTAAAAATATAATATAAGCTCTGGCGGACTTGGTTCTATGGTAGGTCTTAAAGGGTTAATCAATATGCATTTTATGCTTAAAATTGCTCCAAAAATTGTTCTGTTCTTCATAAAGTCTGTCCAGATTATGATATAATATTGAAATACACTAAATGGTTGTTTGTTTTTATTTCCTTTTTTCATTTGTTTGTTGTTGGGGTTCTTTTTTTACATAGGAGTTCTAGCATTTGAAGTGGAATTTAAAACTGATGATTTCCAATCTATCCTCATCTATCATTGGTTTTGGAGGGTGGGGGTGACATCATACATCATGTAATCTGCAGTCTCTGGTGATATGTAAACACAGAGACTTGATATCCAGCGTGATTGGATGAGGGAGCTGCCAAGTTAAGACTTCCTGTTGTTGTGAGACTTAAAGTGAGAAAGCACTGTTGTGTAGTTAACCCAAACCTGTTTGGGTTTAGAAGGCTTATAACAGTTTTGTTTTGTTTTTTACAACTGTTTATCACTGTTAACGATTTTCGGCATATTTTTACTTCTTCAACTACATCTTGAAACCTTTTGTAATTTAATTATTTTTGTTAAATATGTCTTTACAGAATGCTTCAATCAAACTAACTTATTTTATTATAGGTGGTTTTGACACAGTCAAAAGGCCTGTAGCAGTTGGTGTGGTTATGCTGATAACCTATTTATTAGCTGTTTTTGCAAGTTTGGTCAATATCATCTTCATTGTTTCTGACAAGCAGTTACACAAACCAATGTATCTTCTGATTTGCAATCTTGCTGTTGTTGACATACTTTATACCTCTAGTTCCACTCCAACAATGATCGGGGTTCTGCTTGCTGGTGTTAATACCATATCATACGTGGAGTGTATAATTCAAATGTATGTTTACCAGGTGGGAGCAACAATGGAGATGTTTTCTTTAACAATTATGGCATTTGATCGGTTAATTGCTATAATCTATCCTCTTCAGTATCATAGTTATTTAACAAATACACGTACACTAGTATTTACATACATTGTGTGGATTGTTGCCTGTAGTTTTGCACTTTTTCCACCTGTAACAGCTACACCGCTCCCTCACTGCTTTTTGAGGCTTAGGTACACTTTCTGTGACTATGGTGCAGTTATGCGAACCACTTGTGTTAACCCAGAGAAATATTTCAACCAAGTTGCCATTCTATCATTTTTTGTGTCATTTTTCACATTCACTTTCATTTGTCTTTCATATTGTGGGATCTTATTTTTTGTGAAAATATTATCAAATAATGACAAAAAGAAAATGGGAAGCACTCTTGTGAGTCACCTGATTTGTGTATCATGTTTATACTGTCCACAGTTTATCATTGTTATCTTGACCAGGTTTGGTGTGGTATTAACTCTTGAAGAACGCCAGGGTTTATTGATTGGCACCATCCTCGGTCCATCTCTTGTAAATCCTTTTGTGTATTGTCTCAGGACAAAGGAAATTAAAAGTAAGATGTTTAAGATATTCAGGAAGATTAACACAGCTGGTTAGAGCCTTGTGAACTGTGAATACACTTACTTGTAAAATAATGGGCACAAATACCTTACAATATGAAGTGCCTTGAGGTGACTGTTGTTGTGATTTGGCGCTATATAAATAAAACTGAATTGCATTGAAATATTAAAATATTCATATATGGACTTTCTAAATCTTGTTTGGTGATTTGTGAAATTTTAAACGCTATTTAGGTGAGAAGTCACATTTAATGCAAAAATCTTGAAGATAACTTTCGTACACAATTAAATTCTGAAACACAAAATGTTCCATACTTGCATAAAAGTATCAAAAGTAAAAGTACAAAAACACTGGGTCACCGACCCAGGACTGTGACAGAATGTCTTTATTGTTACTATACAGTTGTACAAGGAGATACAGAGCATCTCCTACTCAGTGCAAACATGCAAGGGGGCACAGTTCTGCAGCACAATATACATATGAACAGCATTAACAGAGAACAATATATAAAATGTACAAATATACAAACCACTTTTTAAAACTAATATGTAATAAATAGTGTTATGTATATACAGTTGGGTTATTGCACATAGAATTTGTTATTGCACAGTGGTTGTTCATAGAGGAAATGGGAAAAATTGGGGGGTGGGGTGGGTTGGGGGCTGTGTTATCGATGCATGTGTGAGTTCAGGGTGGTTATGGCCTTTGGGAAGAAACTGTTTTTCAGTCTGTGGGTTTTTTTTGCTGATGCACCTGTAGTGCTTCCCTGAGGGAAGCAGGCTGAACATGTTGAAACCAGGGTGGGAACTATCCTTTTTGTTGTCCTGTTTGGATCTTTAGCCATCAGAATTGTTGTCTTAAGGCCAAGAAAGATGCCAAGCGGATTTATTTTACCAAGTGGATCATCATGGCCTTGCCATATTGGTCCATTTGATTGACCTTTATTATAATTATGTAATTATTTTATTTTCGGTTGCTACAAACGGGACAGACATGACTGGGGGATAGGACGGGGAGAAAGAATGAAAGAAAGAGAGGGAGAGAAAGAAAAACAGAGGGGAGAAGAGACGGTGAGAAATGGGGAAGAAAGAAAGAAAAAACAAAACACCTGGATCACTTGTATGGAGAAAAAAAAACAGAAGAGAAAGCAAACAAAAAAAGAGCAACATAATGAATACAGCACCATCACAATCAACTAGCTAACAGTAGATAACAGTAGATACTAAATATTAAACGCTATTGTGCAGCATGCAAGATAGACAGCGCACAAAGTTCTTTGAGGCAGCAGCCAAGAAAGGTGTAGTCCGCGTCTGTGAACACCCGTGTGTACACCTGTGTGGATCAACATGCTTGTATTCCAAAGGTTTCTCCATGTAACGATCTGCTAGGGAGTGTGGGGAGCCATAGCCCCGTCCCCCAGGGCATGAAGCAGGTATGGAGGAGATGAAGAAGGTATGGAGGAGAGGTGGGAACTATCCTTGATGATGTTTACTGCTCTGCTGAGGCAGTGGGAGGAATAAATGTCCATCAGGGAGGGGAGAGGGCAGCCGACTGCCAACTTCAGGACTTCCTCTCTGTAGTCTGCCTCCTCTCCCTTTGAGATGAGTCTGACTACCATGGTGTCATCAGCAAACTTCATGATGAGATTGTTGTTGTGGGTCGAACTGCAGTCGTGGGTGTAGAGAGAATACAGGAGGGGGCTCAGCACACAACCCTGTGGGGAGCCGGTGCTCAGTGTGCGAATGGATGAGAGATGAGTGCTGAGTCTTACAGTCTGGGGCTGGTTTGTGAGAAAGTCCTTTATCCAGGCACATGTGAAAGGGGGGAGGCCAAGAGTAACCAGTTTGGTGATGAGGATGTGTGGGATGATTGTATTAAAGGCTGAGCTGTAGTCCACAAAGAGCATTCGGACGTAGCTTTGCCGCTTTTCTAGGTGACTCAGCATAGAGTGGAGGGCTATGGCGATGGCGTCTTCTGTGGATCTGTTTGCACGGTATTCAAACTGGTGGGGGTCGAATTCTGGGGGGAGGTAATCCTTGATTTGCTGAAGGACTAGTCTCTCAAAGCATTTCATGAAAGGGGAGAAGAGACGGTGAGAAGGGGGGGGAAGAGAGAGAAAAAAAAAAAAGAACTCCTGGGTCACCTGTATGGAGAAAAAAAAAAACAAACAAAAAAAACAAACAGAGGAGACAGCAAACAACAAAGAGCAACATAATAATAGAGAAAACAAAGCACCATCACAATAAACTAGCTAGTCATAGATATCAATATTTACTAAATAATAAACGATATTGTGCAGCACGCAAGATAGACAGCGCACAGTGTGCTTTGAGGCAGCAGCCAAGAAAGCTTTAGTCCGCGTCTGTGAATACCCATGTGTGCATACAATACAATACAGAACTTGATATAGACCAGTACTGATCCTGTGAAAGTTTCTAGTTCCTGGTCTTCAAATATGTCCCAGTCTGTCTGTGTGAAGCAGTCCTGTAGTTTGGAGAGAGCATTTTCAGGCCAGGTTGTAACAGTCTTTGTGGTGGGCCTGGCACTGCGTCTGAGGGGTGTGTAGGCAGTGCTGCCAACTCCTCAGTAAGGAAAATCGCTATTGGCTGTCCTAAAAAACAACAACCAATCTTTTAGCAATTATTGGGGTTTTTTTTAATGTTAATTTTAAATTTTTTCAGACTGTGTGTGTGTGTGTGTGTTTTGTCTTTTTAAGTAGTTTTAAACCTTGTGATTCATAAAAAGTAACAGTAAAAGAAGAACATTTTTAACCATAAACCATCAAAATGGACATAGCAAGCCTCATCAGACAGCTTCAGACAAAGTCAGCAGTGGCTTCGCTCATGTGCGATTGATTTTGCAGTTTGTATGTGTGGCAGCACGAGGTGGGAATAAAGTAAATACTCTTCACAGTTTAAAAGACAACGACACCCTGGGAATTTCACCCAGGAAATACTGGAAGTAACACTAATCACCAAGAAGGCACTTAGGTTTGCTATACTCAGTACAGAGATGAGATTCAATGATAAAACAGTTTGACAATTTATTAATAATTATTTAAAACAACATATAAAAGCACAATCATAAATATCAATGTACAAATGTGCTTAAAAAAAGGTATTCAGAGCCGAGGTTTACCAGTGGAGGGGCCGGGATGCCACGCACCAACTCAAAAAAAAGAAAACCCACCAATACACCGGTGCAGCAAACTATCACCCACTGACGCTAATAAACTAAAAGAAGACAGGTGTGTAACACTCAAAAGTTCCCACCACCAAGGCGCCCCCAGTCTCCTCCACGTCAGCCCTCCGCATCTGAATAAAAGAAAAAAAAGAATATTATAATATATTACAACAAAACTAATATGCAGCGCTGGGGGATAACCCAACTGTACGCCAGCCGACTCCCGTAGCCGGTGTTGTGCCAAAAAGTGATTGTCTGCCAAAAACTGATTTCCGGGATTTCCCAAAAAGTTATTGCTCGTATTTAAACTGCTATAAGTAACTTGTTGGGCTGTAATATGTGAAACATATGTCAAATGCATCCCTTATGGATGACATAAAGTCATCTTGAGCCACAAACAACATTCGTGTAACAAGGTAGAAGCCGCAATCAGTTTTTGGCAGTGACTTTTATATAACCTTTATTTATGCAGTTAAAAAAATCTCATTAACATTAAAAATGTGTTTTGTAAGAGTAAGTTAGCCAAGAGGACAGCAGAAATGTCAGCAAATATTATAATAGTTCTGTAAAAATATTTTAAGTGGGGATAAAGGACCGGATTGGTTATAATGTAAGTACAATAACACAGAGTTGTAAAAATACTTGAAAAACTGATAATTTTTTAATTCTCTATATAACCCCTTTGTAAACCCTGTTCACCGAAGTCTATTTACGAACATGCGTAAAGATATTGCACATAAAAAACACAGAGAAACATTGGAAATCAGTTTTTGGCAGACAATCACTTTTTGGCACCACTTTAAAAGGCTGGCAGCAGCAGGAAAATAAACCTCGCAACAGGAACAGATGGTAAAAGCAAAGCAGCAGCACTTCAGTTAGCGTAGCGTTGTGTAAAACTAAGGCCCACACTCCCTGCAAAGCATAATAAGTATTTACTATAAGAACAATGAAAGGCAGAGATCGTAACAAACTGAATTACGTACCGAGTAAACAGCGTCACGAATCATGAGCAGAGTGGCTCATAGGAGGCTTCTACAGCTACGACCTAAAAACAATATCTGTTTACCACCAAGTAAGGTAATGTATGCACTACACTGAGTAAACACCTACCAGCTGCGATGGAGGCTTCAGAAGGCTGACCCACAGATGATCTCTGCAACACCAAGTGAAGTCAGGTGACCAAAAAGGAGATCACAGGTTAGCGATCCAGTAATGCTCAAATCGCCACTATTTATGCTAGCGCCCCCCTAATGTGCCAGGCCGAAAGTGGGCTGAACTGAGAAATAACATTCATCCTGCCACAATCGCATAGGGGCGAATATCTCCTGCTCTGACATCAGCTAGGGGGGACTGCTGCGCGTGGACTACCTGCCGCCTGTGAGCACATTGGCATGGGCGAGGTGCCCACGGCAGCACCCGCTGCTTGATGAGAGTAAGACAGATACGTGCTTTCATGTCAAAAAGTCATCATAAGTCTCCAATAGCACCAGAAAAAGTCGCCAGATTAGTCGCTAGTTGCTTTTTGGGAAAAAAAAGTCGCTAGGGGGGGGTCTGAAAACTCGCTAAATATAGCGACAAAGTCGCTAAGTTGGCAACACTGGGTGTAGGCGGGGGAGAGCAGGAGGGAGAGGTGGTCGGACTGACTGAGGTGGAGGAGGGGTATGGCTCTATATGCATGCTTGATGTTGGAGTAAACATGGTCTAGAGCAGGGGTAGGCAACGCCAGGCCTCGAGTGCCGGTGTCCTGCAGGTTTTAGATCTCACCCTGGGTCAACACACCTGAATCAAATGATTAGTTCATTACCAGCCCCCTGGAGAACTTCAAGACATGTTGAGGAGGTAATTTAGCCATT